ATGGTGCTTTCAGGTCATCTCACAAAAACAAAAATAATACATTTTAAAGAAAAAATAAAAATAAATAAAGAGATTGTTCAAATGCCTGTCTGAACAGTAGAGCGTTCAGCCGGGATTTAAAGACAGACAGCATGTCAGAAAGTCCTTAGAGTGGGAATGTGGATGTTTATTCTAAATAGTGGAATCATGTGCATAAGTTGTACATTTACAGAGAAGAGATGCTTTCTGTCCATAAAGGCTCATTCACAAAGCGGACCTGGCTCGACTGAAGGATGACTGCAGCTGGACTGGTACCACAGGCTCCTTCTTTAAGTTTTGCTCAGAGCTCCAGGATGATCAGTCTGGATTAATCTAAACTGTAGTAAACAATCATCATCATTTCCCAGCAGATCTCTGATCAATTACTCCATCTGAATCCTTCCATTGGTGATGTTCTCCATCAGAGCCAAAGCGCTCCTCAATTACCCGGCTCACCTTTGCGCAGCTACTTATATATGTGTGATTGTCTACACACCTTGATCACCTTAAAAATAATCAAACCTGAACTGTTTGAAGTTAATCTGCTGATCCAACCCTGTTTTCTTTTTCTAGTGAGAATGAAATGACCCCATGGACGCATTCAGTCCACTTCAAGGACACCTACAAAGAGACCATACCCTGGAAATCACTGTACTACCCCGCCCTGGCAAAAGTTAATCCCCAATTTAAGTAAGATTAGTTTAATTCTTACTGAAGTTCCACTTTCCGACAACCTCAAACTCACCATCTCTTTTCAGAGTACAGATGACCCTGGTTGCCATCCACAAGGACAAGAACCACACAATCTCACTTTCACTTTTCATCATTAAAATAAACTCTACTTATCTGATCATCTGTTCTCCTGGTGGTGTTCTGTATGTGGGTAAAGAAACTAGGACCCATCATGACAAATTGTCCAAAATGTCTTGGTATGCTGAAGCATTCTGAGTTCCTTTCACTGGAACTAAGAGGCTAAGTACAGCTCCTGGAAAAACAACCGTACACCATAATCCTGCTTCCAACAAACTTTACACTTGGCACAATGCTGTCAGACAAGAAACATTCTCCTAGCAACCACCAAACCCAGATTCATCCATCAGATTGCCAGATGGAGAAGCGTGATTTGTCACTCCAGAGAACACGCCTCCACCACTCTAAAGTCCAGTGGCAGCAGCTTTCCATCACTGCATCCAACGCTTTGCATTTCACTTGGTGATGTATGGTTTGGATGCAGATGAAGCTCTCTGTGCACTGCTCCTGAGCTAATCTGAAGGCCAAATGAAGTTTGGAGGTCTGCAGTTGTTGACCTCTTTGCACTATGCTGACCCCGCTCTGTTAGTTTATGTGGCCTACCACTTCATGGCTGAGTTGCTGTTGTTACCAAATTCTTCCGTTTTCTTATAATACAGTTGACTGTGGAATATTTAGGAGCGAGGAAATTTCACGACTGGACTTGTTGCACAGGTGGCATCTGAAATTCACTGAGCACATGAGAGCAACTCATTCTTCACAAATGTTTATAAAAACAGTCTGCCTAGGTGCTTAATTTTATACAGCTGTGGCCATGAAAGTGATTGGAACACCTGATTCTGATAATTTGGATGACATTGAGTCAGTACTGACCAAGTTTGAAACTGCTCGGTGCATTCACGTTTGGTCACCAAAGTCGCCGATAAATCAAAGAAAGTTGCAAGATTTGTTACCAGTTGGTTTTTTGAGAAAAAAAAAAGTTGCTGGAGGGGTCTGAAAAATCAATAAGACAACACTTCAAGCTGATACAATATTCTGTTTCACTTTTCGGTCATTGCTAAGGCAAATGTTGGCGCATGTGTTGTTTCAAGACAGTCTGACTCCGTACCACCACATAAAGTTAGATTCTGTTACCATTTTTTTAAAGAATAAATATAAATATATATCCAATTCCTGATTCAATCGGCAACAATTTTCTGTTACATTTCCTCCATGGTCATCTTTAAATAATTATAAGAAACTCTACAGTTGTGGCTAGCCAGTCCTTGTTTTATTTCTATTGAATATTAGTTTTTCAGTCATTCAGCAAAAGCATCTTCTTGATCCCAGCTAATTTTATGCTTCAATTCATCTCTACAATACTTGCTTGGGAAGCTCATCTGTCTTATGGGATCTAAGCTCTTGTTTTCTGTGCTCATTTTACTGACCTCAACCTTCCAGTTTGTTCACCCTATTCCACAGTACCAACTGGAGGTCAGTCATTATCAGGATAGTGCGAACTCATTACTCACTGCCAATTACCTGTCCTATATCAAAATTAGCCATTCCAGTCATCAGAAATCATACAGTGAATTTAGCTAAGCAATAGCTACCCTTAACCTAGTCAAGAAAATATGGAGCTAAAACAGTCTCATAATTCACAAATGCACAAGATCCACAAATGCACAGGACGAGATTCACAAATCTGACAGTTTTGATTGTGTCTTTTTTTGTGTTGATACTCTGAATGTTTAAAGAGATGTTTTCATATGCAGTTCCATCTCAACCTTACCCAAACATAAACATTCAGTGAATAAATTGATTTTCAATCAGTTTTGCACTGTGGATCTTGTGCATATGTGAATTATGAGACTGTTTTAGCTCCATAAGAAAATGCTCTGGCTTACTGTTTCAACAAAATGTGGTTGAATATGGTGCATGAAAATCCTTATTAAACTTTACCTCCTTCAGAACAGAGTTTAGGGACAGTAGCAATATGATACAAAGACCTTTGTTAAAAAAAAAAAAAGAAAGTTTAGGGAGCAATAAAAAAAACTAACCATATTGAGATAAATGCTTCCATACATATATAAGAACAGAAAAATGCAATAAGCACACACACCAGCACCATTTGTAGAAAAAACAGCGGCCTTGCTAGAAGCTCCATCTCCTTTGGCAGTGTAGGCCACCAGAGTTATAGAGTATGTTGTCTCAGGGAGCAGACCAGATACAAAGGCTTCCTGAACAAAAGAAACAGTGCAATAAAGTGAAGACAAAAGGGCATACAGAAAAAAGCAAATAACAAACAGAGTTCAGCTGCCAATCAAATTCAATTTGATTCAATTTAATTTCAACAAGTGTTGTCTCAAGGTACTTTACACAAAATACAATTTACATAAAAAGCCAGATTCACAGTAAACCACATTCCATGCTGAATCTAGTTACAATACAACTAAATTTAAACTAAATTTAGTTGTCTTTTTTTTTTTTTTGCTACAATTGAGAAAATGCTTTCTAAGGAAACTCAGTTATTTGAATAAGTTGTGGTTAGCCTGAATCAGTCAAACAAGCACAGCGGACTGCATTTTGTAGTGAACTTTGAAGGAATTCCTCACTCACTATGTTGAAAGGACTTTTCCTTTCAGCAACAGCAGAAAGGAAAACTCCCCTTTAACAAGAAGAAACCTCCAGCAAAATCTGGCTCGGTCTGAGTGATCTGTCATCTTCCATAAAATACTTTTTTTTTCACTTAACTTATGATCTGTATTGTAAATTCTACAGCATTGATCACAATTCCTACATTCTTACACAATTTTAGGTAAGAACACAATACCTAAAAGCAGTGAACTTCTAAAATATGTACATTTTGTCCTCAAAAGCAGTACAAGTGTGGTGATCTGCATTTTCTGTGTGTTTCTTTTGAGTTTTTTTCTGTTTTGTTCCCCTGTGAGTCTATGTGCTGTCCTGTCCTGAGTGATCCCAGCTGTGTCTCGTTCCTGTTTTTACCCTCCCTGTGTATTTAGTTCCACCTGTTGTCTGTGTTGCTTGTCGGGTCCTTGTCTAACCACATTTCTGTGTCATGTAAGATGTCGTCGTGTCCGTGAGTCTTAGTCTCCAGTTTCCTTGTGCTGCCACTGTTTGGATTTTGTTAACTGAATTCATCATTAAATCATCTTCTAAATATGTCAACCTGGGCTCATCTAAGTTTTTCCTCACCACCTCACTACCACGTCATGACAGAAAGCATATGTGCTCAACTGCTATAACTGCTTTATTTCAATATTAACTTTTAAAGCGTTGAGATAAGACACAAACATTTATATTCATGAAATCAATTTTATGTTATAGCAAACTAAAATTAATTTGAAAAAAGGCTAAATTACCTGAGCGTTAGGGTTTGAAATGTCACTGACGACAGGCTGGCCATGCGGTTCTCCATTCTTTAACTTGGAACAGACAACATGGTAACCTTGAATCTGCCCATACTGCTTCACTGACAATGGAGCCTTCCAAGTCATCTTGATAGTAGTGGAATTGAGGGGTTCTATCACCACCTTTCTGGGAGGAGGTCCAAGCACTGAAAATGCATCAAAAGAAATTGCTTTAATTCTTTGTAATTCACATCAAATTGAATAATTTGATGTATTATCAACTATTGCCCGGTCATAGTTGATAATGACTGGGCGATGTTGAGAAAAATTGAATAATCTTAGTGTTTAATACAGTTAATCTTATCACATGTGAAAAAGGTAGATTGAGCAGGATTAGCTTGAGTAAGAGGGCTTGGTAACTCTTTATTTGAAGGGGTGTGAATAAGACTGTCATGACACTGTCATAAACATGAGTAAGTCTTCATGAATATTTATGACTGTTGTCATAAAGTGTCATTCGGTAAATCATGACACTTTTAATACAAAGTTGACATTATTCAAAATGTCTTCGTTATGACAACTTGTCATTAACCAAGAATCATATGTCATACATATGTCATAAAAGTAGTCATAATAATTTAATTATTACACTATCAAAAGCTTTAATAAAACAGCAATTAATATTCCCACTACCTCAAATAAACCGAAACAAGTAGGACCAACAATAAAGATTTCATTAAGCTTTATTACACTCTCAAATGATTTAATAACAGAGTCAATAATTTCTTTTACATCACGTAAAGTGTAACAAGTAGCACCAGTTATGAATATATCATTAAGTGTGATTACAGTGTCATTAAGTAAAGTGAAAAAGTCATTAAGTAAAGTGAAAAAGTAGCAACAGTTATGAATATAACATTAAGTATATGTCATCAAGTAAAGTGAAACAAGTAGCAATAGTTATGAAGATGTCATTAAGTGTCATTACAGTGTCATTAATATTAACTCTACTTCAGGTAAAGTGAAACTAGAAGCAACAATTATAAAGATGTAATTTAGTGTTATTACAGTGTCAAATGCTATGCTAACAGAGTCACTAATATTAAGTCTTACCTCAAGTGAAGTGAAACACACTAGAGAACTTATAACTACCATCATAGCTGTAGAACAAACCCTTTGTACATTGGAATAAAACAAAAAATAACTTCTTCTAAGATAATAGAGGGTTTAACATCTGGTCAGTATATTGTTACTCTGAAATGCTGATTGAAAAACTAAACCAGAATTACTTATTTTTTAACTTAAGAAAATAGGTTCTTTCAACAGTAACATTTTTTTGCTTTGATTGTGTCAGCCATCTCCTTTGTTATAGCCTTCCTGTAATGCTCTGAAAACAGGAGATCTTCTTCTTGTCTTCATTTCCTGGAAGCAGCTCTTTGAAGGTGTCCAGAAATGCTCAGAAATTACAGCTGTTCTTGCAGTAGTTAATCATGGCGAAAGCCTTTTCATGAATTCAAACTTGGTGAATCTCTTCTGGACATTCTCATGACTCAATTCATTGTGGTCACTTAAAAAAAGAACAAAAACAAAAAACAATGTCATCATATTCCAGCATTTATTTAAATACCATTTCAAAAATGTCCCTTGCTGCACACTGTCAGACTGGCAGACAAATGCCTAGTTAACATGACTGGTTGTTATAAAGTGCAATACAATTATTTCTTGATACAAGCGGAATAATAACTGGAGCTGAACAAAATTATTCTGATCAAATATTTGTCTGGCAGAAGTTCAGACAGACTGCCACTGTTATTTGAATGCGTCATTTAACATATAGTTTTAGGCACATGAATGCATCTTTTTTAATGAGCATTCTAAATTATTTCTAACCAGATACTCTAACTTAGGGTTGTTTGCAAGAAGCTTATTAAGAAATAAATAGATTTAACATCAGTTTTAGTTGTCTAAAACTTAACTCAGCTGGTGAATGTTGATTCCTGCTCCCCATTTCCCACTTACCTGACTGTCCCACCCCACTTCACATGGTGAAAATATTAACACAAAAACGACTTAAATAATTTTCTTTGGGAATATTTCATCTGCTTCTTTCTCTTTGGTCAAATAGGAACTTCTTTCTCTGGTGGCTGGTCCTTATTATCATCCTCCTCCACACTCGTAGCATGTCTTCATTAGCCAACTTTGTCCTCCTCACCATGTGTCCTTAGGCTAGCCTGGGTCTTCACGTGGCTAAAGTTGCCAAAGCAAAGAACACAAGGACCATGTCACATCAGCCAAGTCGCTAAATAATGCACATGAAGGATAACTTTGACATAATGCACATGAAGGATATTAGCTTTTAATTTGCTAGATTAAAATTGGAGGGAAAAAACTATTTGCCTGTCTTTAAAATATATTTAATATTAAGGGCTAACGTTACAGTAATGGAGTTTAATAACTTTAGCTAACATTAACTTACAGCAAGGTAGGATTGGCTTGAATTGCTTATAGCTAACATTACAGAGAAAGAGAACATAGTCAATGTTATTTTCTCAAAGAAAATGTAAAGTTAATAAGACACATACCTCATATGTATTAGGTGACAAACTTCGGCTTCTTTTTAAACAGGACGCCTGGCCGTTATAACTTGAGTTTGGTTGGCCCCACCATAGAATAGACCCCCATGGACCGCTCTCGCCTATTGTACCTTGGAGCGGTACACCACTCCACTCAGCATTATGTGTTTAGCAGCCACAATGACGTATCAGCGCATTTAATCGATCATAACACGCTTTTTTTGTTACTGGAAATCATATTCAAACATCTATCAAAGCAACATTTATAAACAATTGTATTTTTTAAACATGTTTTAATACATAGTTCATCATATTTAAATATGCTTAGTGGCTATAACAGTAGAATAGTAAATTAGTAATGGGATATTCTGATATATGTCCACCGTATTTATGCCGGTGGACATAAATACGACCGCTCCAAGATGGCCGCCGTATTTTCTGTGCCGGAGCAGCCAATGCGGGGTCTACTCTTATATTATGTCTATGGGCCCCACAATATGGAAGATTTCTTCTTCACCAATACACTGCATGCCTGGTCGTGCACTGCTGCCTCTCACTGGTGGAGATGGTGTATTGCACTACTTAAAACAGCCTTAAATTATGTTTCAAATGCAAAGTTCATAAGTGCTTAGTAGGGTTTGCCCATTTAGGGCCCACGTAGGCTGTGGCCCTACATGGGCAAACTCATGTGGGGCCACCGTGGAACCTGCGGACAAAACCATATGGGACCCTTATGTCTGCCCACCTTTCCCCCATATGGGGCCCACCTAGGCATACTGGTGGGGACATTGTCATAACAAAGACATTTTTGTTTAGGTTAATGACAAGTTGTCATAACAAAGACATTTTTAATAATGTCAACTTTGTATTAAAAGTGTCATGATTTACCGAATGACGCTTTATGACAACGGTCATAAATATTCATGAAGACTTACTGATGTTCATGGCAGGTGTTATGTCGTGTTTATGACAGTGTCACGTCAGCCTTATTCACACCCCTTCAAATAAAGTGTTACCCACTTTTTTTGTATTTATGTATTTTTTTTTTTTGTTAGAAACTCTGGAGTACTCACTTTTAACCCAGAAAAGGATTATTTTAGATTATTTTAGTTTATTGGTAATATCAGAAATTGTAGAGTACGCACAATTTAGATCATTATACTTCCTAGATAACTTTTATGCAGAGAGACTCGTACTGCTACAGCCCAGAAAAGGAATTAGAATTAGAATTACAATGAACTTAGAATCCAGAAATACAGGAAAAGTCACTACTTAGTTACTTTCTATACTACTACTTGCTAGAAACTGTGACTACTAATTTTTAACCCAGAAAAGGACGTAAAACAAACTTAGAATTTGGCTGTTCAGCTTTAGATTATTATCAGTTATTTAGAAACTGTGGAGTACTCACTTTTAACCCAGAAAAGGAATTAGATTAGTCACACTTTAGCTCATTTTTTCAGAAACTGTAGAGTACTCACTATTTAGATGCAGAGACCAGAAGCCCAGAGACACTTTTGGATCTAGACTACTTTTTAGGCCCCGTTTACACGACAACGATTTCGGGGGAAAACGGAAGAGTTTTGTTGCGTTTGTAGTGCGCATTTACACGAAACCACCGAATGTTTTCTCTGACAACGGCACAGATTGAAAACGGGTTCCAGAGTGCGATGTTTCTGAAACGTACCGTTTTCCGTTGTCGTGTAAACCGAGAAAACGGATCTTTTCTTCCAGAGAATCCCCAGCTCATGCATAGTATGACGCAAAACATAGCTGCTTCCTACAATCCACAGAAGAAGAAGAAACTACTCACAATACTGGTTTTACTGTTTCCCCATCAGATACGGTTCCCTCAGCGTCTCTTCACCGCTCCGCACCGCCCAGGTGGCAAAATACACGGCTGCTTGTTCAGCCTCTTATCTAGAGAACTACGGACCAGCTCCGGCTCCAGACGAGTTTAACAGAGGGGGCATCGACTTATTTTGGGGGGGCAAAATGAGTCTACGTAGCTGAACATAGACAACATCAATAGCATACAGGCTACTTGTTAACAAGCGTAAGGTTCTGTATTGATATTAGCTAGTCATCTTTTAGCTATCATTACCTGCATCCAACAGCTTTACTCAACTCTGTCGGCTAGTTTGGGGAAAAAACTGTGCAAAGTTATTTACGTTTTGCTGGTTTGCTGCCATGATTCTAACACACATCTGCGCAGCTGCAGCAGGTCTACTTTGCTGCCTCACAGGTGTAAACCCAGCGCGAGCGTCTCAGCATTAATGTTGCGTTTGAAGGCGGCTCGGAAAAACAGGTTATACCTTGTTAGCAACGGATTAAACTGTTTTAACTGCTGGAAAAGGTGACAGAGGACACCGATATGGGAAGAGCGAGAGCTCCTATTTTATCAAATTTATATAGGAATAACAGACTGTTGGCCATTCCAAGGTAAAAGCAGTAATCAGCTTCCAGTCCGGGGCCCGCTACGGACACCGTGAAAGCTCAAACAAGGTGATGCGGTAAAGTTATCCCACTTTTTCCAACTGCATGCGCCCTAATCAGACGCACACAATGCGTGTTTTCTCCCAATCTATGGGAGAACGGTACCTGATAGGGAAACACGAATCCACATGCCTTCAAGTAGAACTTTTTTTTAAACACATGCCACTCAGTTTTAAAGAACCTAGCACCAACTAGGCACAGTGAGAGCATTACACGTTTTCGATGTGTGCCATTACTGTGTAAACACAGATCGTAATTACAACGATTTCGTGTAAACGATCCAACAAAAACGGAACAAAACATCCGTTTTTGTTGGATCGTTGTCGTGTAAACGCCCCCTTAGACTCCTCTTCTTCCAACCCAGAAATGGAATTAGACCAGAGGATACTTAGCAACCCTGAACAGGAGCACCTAGTTTACATACTTAGATCAACATTAGATTGTTTTTCTCTTCNTNTGNTCTTTCTTTTGGTTTGTTATTTTGTTTATATTTCCTGTAAAGCACTTTGTATTTCCTTGTTGCTGAAAATGTGCTATATAAATAGTACCAAAATAGCATACTTCAAGTATACTGAGGAGTCTAGCTTCAAGTATGCTAAAATTTAACATACTTAGTACATATATTTTTCAGCAGGGTAGAAGTACTTGCAAGTCTAGCATAGACCTCCAGAAGGCTACAGCAGACAGACACCAAATGACCACAAAATAGTTATACACCTGGCACAGATTTAGCTTAGCACTAAAGCAATCAAGCCTTTCTTAAAATGGTCAACCAGGTTATAGCATGTTTCCACTGGTAAATATATTGATGCTTTATCATTAGGCTCGAGGCCTTCGCAGCAACAGCACTTCGAAGGCCTACTGTAATCATACCATTTATTTAAAGTCCCAAGCAGTCAAGCTTTCTACCACATGAATTTGCTTTTTGGAGGCCTAAATATTTGTAACTGAAAACTCACTACTTGGTGGACGCATCAGGCCTGCGTCAAAATTACATATTTTAAGGTTACTGAAAAAAAAAACAGAAATTTTGAGATTTCTCTCAGAAATAATAAAAAAAGTATATTTCCAAGTTTCAAAAGTCAAAAATGCTCAGAAATTTCAGAATATTTGGGCATTTTCTTCATTTCAAAAGTCAACATTTTTAAACTTTTCTAACTCAGGAATGTCTGTGTTTTCTCTATTACATTTCTTAGAGGAATCTCAAGTTTTTTGGCAGAAATATACTTTTTTTCTAAGTGCAGTGGATCTAATACACCGTGGTATGGTAGTTTAAGGCCTAATATGGGCCATTAATTTTACTCTTGTTGCAGTTTGATCCATTCCATGAATTGCTGGCCTGTTCAGGATGTTGTTTTATGTGCAGATTTGCATAACAATGATAAATACATCTCCTTGTGATTATCACATTATGATGATCAAGTAAAGGAAAAAATATATTTGATTTTGTTTTTGGTTGGTATAAATGGATTTGATTTTTATGTTGAAAAAAATCATAAAGGTCAGGTCAGTTTGGTAAACCAGTAGGTGGTTAATATATAAATGGGTCACTTTGGATTGGAAAAATTGGTCCCCGAGGTCAAAAACGTTAAGAACCCCTGGCCTAGTAGACTGGTGCATGAACTGCACAAGAGCGTTGATGACAGTGAGCGGGTGGCATTGCTGTTAGTTTGTACAGAGGCATAAATTATGAGGCCAGCACTGCGCTGCAAGGGCCTCCAACACTGCTTACAATTTGAACTGGTTATGAACTGAAAGGCTTTTGGCTGAAAAGAACTCCATGTCCTTTTTAACAACTTGTTAAAAACTTTTCCCACAGAGCAGCAGTCACAGGCGCAGCAGATAGTGATATTAGAAGACATTTTTAACATTAGTTTAAAAACAAAATCTGTGCAAGTTTTTGCATCACATTTTTGTTGAAGAAAAGTAGGAGAAAATGCAATATTTTGTGACTAAAAACTGGCACATCCAATAACTTTTTTTATATTATTTAGGCACCACTTATAAGCAAATATTTTAATTAGGTTATGATAACTTTAATTCTTATTGACCGAGTAGATATGAAAGTTATATAAACAAAACTTACTGGATTTGGTCGTCCTGGCCTGAATAGGTTGAGTGAAAACTCCCAAGCCTCTTTCAGAGCGTGCTGCTATGGAAAACAAGTACAGCGTATCTGGCTTCAGACCATCAACGGCAAACGAGCCTGCTGCACTGAGAGAGACATGATGCTGTGAAGAGAAGAAATGGAACTAGAATTCACAGACTATTATTTAAATCTCAGGAAAAAGAAGACTGTCAGTTTTGAGACCAAAATAATTTACACCTCTAAAAGATTTAGCTTTTAAAATTATTATGGTGTATGGGCCCCTGCTCTTCATTCTCTATATGTTACGCACATACATTACACATTATCCACGCAACATTGTGACATGTCTCCACCAAATGATTCACCTTAGTCCTTCCTTCCACTAGTAGCAACTGTCTGACTGACATCAAACTCAGTCACACAAACTTTCTAAAGCTCAACAGCAACAAAATAGAACTACTCATCACTGGTCCAAAATGACTGATCCTCTGTCCAGAACATCACCCTCCTTATTGATGGTCATACAGTGACTAGGATGACTGTTTTATATTGTATTTAGTTCAATACCTTAGGATTATCGGTAACACTTTATTTGAAGGGGGTTGAATAAGACTGTCATGACACTGTCATAAACATGACATAACATGTCATGAACATGAATAAGTCTTCATGAATATTTATGACTGTTGTCATAAAGCGTCATTCGGTAAATTATGACACTTTTAATACAAAGTTGACATTATTCAAAATGTCTTTGTTATGACAACTTGACATTAACCAAGAAATCATTACTGTTTAAACTTTAAAAATGAGGTAACTTTATGTTATTAAAGGTAAAGTGCAATCATTAATACTTTTATAACAAATTTATATCACTAAGGAGGCATTGGGCCAGAAGTGAGTAAAATGTACAATATTATTACAACAGAAAGTGAAATAGACAACAACAACAACAATAATAATAATAATAATAATAAATAGACAAAAACATAAAATAATTTAGGAGGGAATAAAAAGAGTTATCTAGTTTGTTAAAGTGAGTTTTAGAACTAACTCCATAAAAATAAGGCCAACTTTTTAGCAGTATTCATTTGGCCTTATTTTTATGGAGTTAGTTTTTAAAGCTCACTAAGAACCTCAAACTTATGAGAAAAATAATAGTTATTTATTATTTTATGAATGTATACTACTCAAAAAAATAAAGGGAACATTTCACTTTAATTTTGTGTGTGGCTCCAAATCCAGGCCTCCATTGGTTAATAAATTTGATTTCCATTGATGATTTTTGTTTGATTTTGTTGTCAGCACATTCAACTTTGTACAGAACAAAGTATTCAATGAGAATATTTCATTCATTCAGATTTAGGATGTGTTATTTGAGTGTTCCCTTTATTTTTTTGAGCAGTGTACAATACATTCATATAATTACATTCATAATTGTATGAATATATTGTACATTACATTAAAAACTTAACATTTTGCAACACCTGAATTATGAATTAACTTTAAATGGGAATGACCACAGGAATATGTTTTTAAAACCAATGACCTTGGCATCTGAAAGATTATGTTTAATCTTAACCCAACAGCAGGTCCCAGTAAAGACCTGGGTTTTTGACTGATTTAATTTTAGTAAGTGACACTGTCACTTACAGACAAAAACTATCGGTACGAAAAATAGACCTGATGAATGGATCATTTAATGATCCTCTGTGTTCCCACAATGTGATCAAGTGTTGCATGCTCACATTTGCTGCCGTTTCCTCTGCTTCTTTTTTTGTTCTTTATTATTGGTTCATCGGTGGGGGTCCTGCACAGCAGTGTTGTGTTCAAGACCACCCAACTCGAGACCAAGACAAGACCAAGACCACAGTGTATCGAGACCGAGTCAAGACCAAGACCAGTGCCCCGCGCTATATAACACGATAAAATGTGAAATCAAAATTGCTTCTCAAACTGATCTGAAATATCCGTATTCCCATAAAAAGACCTAGATATTAAATACTTGATCAATTTTACCAATATTAAAAGCAGAACAAACTTTTTGTTCTGCTATGCTTCCATCTCTGTGCTACAATCCGCGGTGGTCTCGTGCCATCCCTAAAAAGATAACTCCCTGGGTGTTTGTCCATGTTGCTCATGTCAGAAACCACCACTGTCTGCACCATTAAACATAGCAATTGAGGCAATGCCCTGACACTAAATAATGCTCAACTATGAACACTGACCAAGGAGCAACAAGCAAGAAGTAACCAAACAGAAGGCGCACATCGTGACTGTTTTCACTCTCTATCCCAGTACATGAAGCCAGGCAGTCTGACACCATGGCAGACATTACAGCTGCTACTTTGAACAAAAACAATCAAAGAGCAATGTGCATGCTCTGCGTGCTCTTTGGTTCTTGTGCTTTAGTTATTTGTTAATTTAAATATTAACGTACATAATAAAGTAAAATAATGATGCAGTGCACACAGAACATTACAAGAACAAAGAACGGGTGTTCTGTCAGGTCAGATCACGGTGTTCTGTCAG